GAGTTTCCCACATTTGGGGAAATCGCAGGGGTCAGCACATCCGGAGTGCAATGGGTAAGCCTCGCCCTGGGAAAACCACCTTCGTGATCATGGTATCTACCCTGCCCGGTAAGTATCAGTTGGGTTTTAATATCTATTCAGAGACAGAAGTTGAAGCCTTCTTTATTCCCAGGATGATGATCAGCAGGATTCTAATGAAAGGGGACATGGGCCTTGATTTGGGAGGATACAACTCCTGTTTCTGCTTACTCAGTTAGGGCAGCTTTTCCCAAGGGACCACCTGGCTGCCCCGGAGCTGCCAGCCAACCTGCCTTCATTCTCACTGGAATTCCTTGGCTCATTATGCAGCCTGAGGACACAGAACATGAAGGTACACTCTTCAGCAACCACACAGGAATTAAAGAGGAAAGGAGTAACTAGTTCTTGCAGGGCGAGAAGGGAGGATACCAATTACTTTAAAGTATATGGTAATTTGAATAAAAGTGCAGATTTAGTGACATTTGGTTTTCCATAGGAGATACTAGTAGTTAATAGGCAATCTCTTCAGGTCCAGTACCTTTGATATTAATTTTATCAAAGTAAAGATATTGCTTTACTTATGGAGATATTAGTGAACTTTGCTTCCTCTGGCCCAGTGGTCGGCAAACTCATTAGTCAACAGTACAACGATTGAAATTTCTTTTGAGAGCCAAATTTTTTAAACTATATAGGTAGGTACATTGTTATTAACTTAATTAGGGTACTCCTAAGGCTTAGGAAGAGCCACACTGGAGGGGCCAAAGAGCCGCATGTGGCTTGAGAGCCGCAGTTTGCCGATCACGGCTCTAGCCCAATAAACAGATAATTCTGCTTTTTAAAAACTGCACGTAGCTGGTGCCAAGACAGGTTGTTTGTTTGCCTGTGTTCCGTGTTGTGTGCGGGTCTGTCCTTTTGACACTTTCAGGAACCTTCAGCTGCATGGAGCATGCTGAGTGGGAGACCTTTCAATGGACTCCCCCTGCGGGAATCCTGGTTTCCATGCCAAGCCCGATGTTTTGCGAAGGGCCACTTGTTCAGATGCCAGAGACCTTAAAAAAGTGGAGCAACTCACAAAGAGTGCTCTGTGCCCGTCTCCTGTGGCTGCGGCACAAGGAGTGGTTTCATAATCTGTGTAAGTGCTTCAGGCTCAGCACACGTCACCTCTGATATTAGCAGGAGCTAATGAAAGCTTTTTGCTCATTTGTTTGGCTTCAGCAACCAAGTATGTCAATGAAATTATAAGATGTGATTTTATTAATATCGCTCCAAGGAAAGCTATGACTGGGAACTGTGTTCCTCACAGAGACCACCCTGTTAGACACTTTCTCGGAGGAGTCCAGAGTACCTCAGAACCAGAATGTTTTCAACCCAGGGAGCTGGAAACTAAAGATTCAATTCCTTTCTTGACCTTAGAAATCAGGGCCTTGACTTTCCAACCATTGTAAAACTGAGGAAAATAATTTATTTTCCTTCAAACATCAAACACTGGAAAATAAGGACTGGACCCTAGCCAGTTTGGCTCAGTGGAAAGAGTGTCGGCCTGTGGACCGAAGGTTCCAGGTGTTGGTTCAATTTGGGTCAAGGTCAGGGTTTGTGCAGGAGGCAACCAATCATTGTGTTTCTCTCACATCGATATTTCTCTGTCTTTCCTGAAGATTAACAACAAAAGGACTGGTAGGAAACCCATGGGAACTGAGGTAGCTGGGGAGATTTTATAAGGTGTGGGTGAGAAAGAAGCACCAAGGGTCATGCATTTATTCAGCAAATATTTGTTAAATGTAAATTTTATGTGGGTATGTAGTGCTCCAGGGTTTCTTTACCACCCTTGCCAAACAACTGAGAAATGGATTTTTAAAAGCCATATCACCATATATCATTCATATATATGAAAGACTTCTATTTCTATGTTCAAATGGAAATGCAAGCACTGGTAAATAAAATCACCCAACACTAGGAAGAGTTTAAAAATAGATTCTAGCACAGCTGATGTTTTATTTTCATTTGAAATTCCGATCACAAATCCCACTCATTCAAAAGTTAAAGTTTATTATTATTTTTTATTTTCCTGTTTAGCTAAGGTCTTTTATGTCAATAATTTGGCCTGATTATGTTCTTTTTTTTTTTTTTTTTGGCCTGATTATGTTCTAGGAAGTTTAAGCATTGTCAGAAATCAGGTCAGGACTTTCTTTGTCTGTCAGACTGACTGAAAAAACGAGTGCACCAGGGACTGAACACAATGCTTGCTATTCAGTTTAGCTGAGATAATTTGTGGTCTTCTGTTGCCAAGTCTCTTTAATCCAGGACAAGGATATAAACTAGAGGTGGCCTACAAGCCCCATCTAGTGGCGTCTTGAAGAAAAGCAGGTAAAACAAAACAAAAACAAAACACCAAATACAGGCTCCTTGTCAAACTGGATGAGCTACTAGTTTTTCCCCTGAAAATCTAATCAGGAGGATTAGTATGCATGTCATTGTTAGAAGTTCCTAAGTCAGTGATTCTTAATCATTGCAGAATATATTTAAAATAAAGAGAATCAGCCCAGCCGGCATGGCTTGGTGGTTGAGCATCGACCTATGAACCCGGAGACCATGGTTCGGATTTGCCGTGAGGGCGCATGCCCAGGTTGTGGGCTCAATCCCCAGTGTGGGGCGTGCAGGAGACAGCCAATCGATGATTCTCTCTTATCATTGATGCTTCTATCTTTCTATCCTTCTCCCTTCCTCTCTGAAATGAATAAAAGTATATTAAAAAATAAAATAGAGAATCACTGAGGAAGCGCATTAAAAATGAAGATTCATAGGCTTTGTCCAAAATAATCTGATTTAGTAGGTCTGAGATAGCACCCACCTTAATAGAGTCTCCACTCTGAAAAAGACTTCTCAAAATGCCTTAGGCATAGCATAGCTGACCCTTTCCCCTGTCTATTAGGAATTCAGCCTACTTACTATGCTAAAGCAGGATGGTGCATAGTAGAGGTAGTACAAACAATTTAGAGACCAAATGAAACTACAAAGATTACAGATAAGGGACCCAAGATTTATGAGAAATATGGAGAAAGCTGGCTTAATTCTCCCCTCAAAGAAGTTGAAGCTGTTAGCCAAGACAGAAGGCTGACTTATTTTTTAAAAAACGTTTTATTTAAAAATAATTATGATATGTATTTTTAAGATCTTCTGAGCTAAACTATTCTAATACAGTTTTTTAAATATTCCCCCCAACGCCCCCCCCCCACTTACAAGAGAAAGCATTTGGCCTAATTATTCTCAAAGTGTCTTCTAGCACTAACCTTTCACAATTCTAACTCCCCCTCCTCCTATACCATTAATCCAAATGTGAGGGTAATTTTATTTGTCTTAGTTCACTGATATAACAAATATGATTTTCTGATTTATTAAATAAATTAATTTTAATGGCTTTGGTCTCTTATCCTATTATATTAACAGGAAACAAGGGCACTATTAGAAGAGAAGCTAACACTTACTGGGAACCTGGTGTCAAGTCCTGGGGCTTGGCTTCTGACAAAGTAAAATTAACTACTGACATAAGCACCCTATGAAGTAAGCAGTCTCCCTACAAAAGAGGAAGTGATGCCCAAAGAGGTGAACTGACCTGCCCAGGATCACACGGCTAGTAAGTTAAGGCATATCTGGGCCTAGGTTTGTATTTAAAGTGCATGCTCTTTTTGTGTGTGCGATTTCCTACTAAAATCTCCAAACAGCCTTCCAGTAGCCAAATGTATTAACCTTTTCTCAAGCAAAAATATCTTTGACCAGAACTACTGAAAAGGAGGAAAAATAAAGTATTTTATGGCCACTTTTATGTCCTTATTTAGATATGTATGTCTAAAATACGACAGGACAAATTTGTGTGTCATAGGGTAGTGGAGAAAATAAATGATCTGCCATTGACTATATGACAACATTGCGGTGGACATTTTATTCACTTTAAATACTGTGCTGTAAAACTGTCCAGAACAAGATCTGGGGTACACGGTAGGCAAGTACAAAGGACAGCCAGCAGAGTATGTTTTGTTAGAGTGAGTCATTCTACGTCATGAGAGAACAATCACTGACTGTGTACACCAGGAACATACTTGGAGGGAAACACACTCATATCAAGGAGAAAGAAATAGATAAATGCTGAGAGGGGCAACCTATTATAAATAAGTTTCTTGGGATTAACAGAGGCAAAAACTTACATGTGAGGCTCTACTATGTGCCCAGTTTTTAGTTCAATACTGGGTAGAGAGCAGTTGCAAAATAAAAATTTGTTGAAAGGATTTCAGTCACTAGGACACAGTTTACATAGTCTCCCATTTAAACAACCTAACAATTTCTTTCTTCATTATCTTTACTTCATTAGTTATATATACTATAATTTACATAATAAATCTATTATTTAAAAACTTTCAATAGGTACAATTATGGCATTTCATTAGGCTGGAGTCTAAACTGCTTGGATGAGATTTACTTTGGAATCACATTATCCAAGCAAAGAAAAACACAACCAGTTCATAAGGCAGAACAATAATGAAAAGTGTGAGACAAATGCCTGCCTTAGAAGTTTATCAATACCTCTTATATACACATATACAGTGGGGCCTTGACTTACGAGTTTAATTCATTCCGTGACGGAGCTCGTAACTCAAATTACTCGTATGTCAAATCATAAAGTGAACGAGTGAGACACGTGATGCTGGGCTGATGTTGTGGCGTTCACTGTGACGTTCGCTGTGCCAACTAGCGGTGGGGTATCTGAAGCTAGCTCGTAACCCGAATTTTAGCTCACAACTCAAAGCAAAAAATGGGCTGAGAGACAGCTCGTATCTTGAAAAACTCGTTAGTCGGGGCACTCATAAGTCAAGGTCCCACTGTATATTCACAAAGTGGTTGAGAGTCCTTTTATATGATCCTTTAGATGAGGTTCAGTGGCTGAGAACTCTATAATGAGACACATGGTCAGAAACCATTAAGACTTTCAGTGTTCTTTTCTTCCCCTGAACTTTATTACCCTTTAGTTGGGGAGAGAAAGAAGTCCGTTTTCATCTGCAGTATCTAAGATTTTACAGATCACTGGAGATTCAACCTAAAGAACAACAACAATAAAATCAGTAAAAAGTTGTTAAGATGAATACTTGCTTTATTCAGTATTATTCTGAATGAATACACGTATATAAATTTGTTAAATGTATACAAGCCCTTGTTTTGGATAAACCATCCAGTTATTTCTACAAATAAAGCTTTTTGAAAAACAATTTTTAGTCATCCACATAAAATACCAAAAAGGTAGAGGAGATATTTTTATCTCTAAGTAAAAGAGATGACAGAGAGCCCTGGCCAGTGTGGCTCAGTTGGCTGGAGCGTTCTTCCATACACCAAAAGGTGCCAGGTTGGATTCCCAGTCAGGGCACATACCCAGGTTGCAGGTTTGAACCCCAGTCAGTGCACATGCAGAAGGCATCCAATCGATGTTTCTCCCTCACATCGATGTATGTTTCTCTCTCTCTCTCTCTCTCTCTCTTGCCAGGTGTTGAAATCATCAGATGTTAAGATAATTATGATAATTATGATGGAGAAAATAGTGGGAAAGGTAAACAACATGTTTGAATAGATGGGGAATTTTAGCAGAGAAAAGCAAGCCATAAGAGTTAAAGGAAAATGATAGAAATATAAAAATATGTCAGAAGTAAATTCGTTCAAAGAGCTGGATGGGAAACAGCAGAGGAAAGTTATCAGATGACCACAAAAAGATGTAAAAAGATGTTCATGTGAGCCTTATTCATATAATAAAAAGTAAGAATATCTATCTATAGAAGAATGGATGGATAAACATATGTGGTATACTTATACAAAAGAATATTATTTAGTAATAAAAAGACAATGAAGTGCTGATACATGCAACATGGCTGAGTCTGAAAGATGCTGAGTTAGAGGCCAGGCATAAGAAAGTTTGTATGCTATATAATTACATTCATATGAAATAAAAAATAGAGGCAAAACTGATATATAGTGTCCAAAATTACAAAGAGGTATCTTTGGGGATTCAGGAGTATTGACAGGGAAGGGGTATAAGAAAATTTTCTGCAGTGATAGACACTTTGTTTTGAGTAAGAGTCACAGCCTATATAATAAAAGCCTAATATGCTAAGTATCTGATCGATCTGTCGGCTGTTCAACCAACCAAAGCGTAATATACTAATGATATGCTAAGGCCGCTCAACCACTTGCTATGACACACACTGACCACCAGGGGGCAGATGCTCCGACCAGTAGGCTAGCTTGCTGCTGGTGTCCAGTCGATAGGAACTGAGCGAGATGGGCTGGAGATGCCCTGGAGCCCTCCCGTGGCCCCTCCCTCATTGGCCAACTTTCCATGTCCCTCCTTGGCCCTGATCATGCACTGGTGGGGTCCCTCAGCCTGGCCTGCACCCTCTCTCAATCCGGGACCCCTTGGGGGATGTCAGAGAGTGGGTTTTGGCCCGAACCCGCAGGCCAGGCCGAGGGACCCCACTTGTGTATATAAATTGTCAAAATTCATCAAACTCAACCCTTAAGATCTTTGCATTTAATTTTATGTATACTATTCCCCAATAAAAACATAACTGTTTTTATAGAAATAGTATTAAATGTTAGAGACTACTGAAGGTCTTTTTAGACTTAATGCTAAAAAGTAAAATGTGGCCCCAAACTGAGTTTCTGAGTATTATTATTTTTACTTACCCCAAGGATATACTGACAGGAGTGAGGCTCTAGCATATATACAGTAACAGCATGAGGAGAATCTGAGTCTTTACACCTAAAATATAGAGCACTTTAAGGTACTGCCCAAACCATACAAAATTAATTTTAATTGTTTTCATCTTAAGCTATAAAAATTCCACATAAGTGGACCTGTATAATTCAATAAGGAATTGAATAATACTTTATTATTATTTATGATTTAATAATTGTTATAAAATACTTATGATTATGAATAAGCACAATTATTCATAATTACATTTTACATTTATGAAAACTTTTGCCCATAGGTAGTAGATTAAAGAGAAAGGCATGAAGCAAAATTTGTTGGGCCAACTTACTTTAGTTTTACAGTCACCTGTCTTGGTTTGTCAGTAATATCACAAATATCTCCATTCCCGTAAAAATGTGACACCATCCTGAATCAGAAACACACACATGCTTTATTAAATTAAAATTTCATTAATTTAGAGTAATTGTGATGGATAGGAGGAGAGGACAGAGGGTCAGTTGTGCATTAGTGAAAAAAAATCTGACTAATAAAATATTCTTAAAAAATCCCTATTTTTAGGGCTATGTCACAGAGTCTTTCAGATTCTATAAAGAGAATATAAACTTGAGATACTTTGTATTTGTTTAGTAAGAATGATCCGCCAAACCCGGTTTGGCTCAGTGGATAGAGCATCGGCCTGCGGACTGAAGGGTCCCAGGTTCGATTCCGGTCAAGGGCATGTACCTCGGTTGCGGGCACATCCCCAGTAGGAGATGTGCGGAAGGCAGCTGATCGATGTTTCTAACTCTCTATCTCCCTCCCTCTCTGTAAAAAATCAATAAAATATATTTTTTTAAAAAAAGAATGATCTGCAACTTGCACATTATTTATCTGTCTACAAATGATTAAGGTTTAATTGCTTTTACAAACATTGTTCTTTTAAAATTAACCGTTTCTCCAGTCCTGTAAATTGTTTGCTTAGGGGAACAGTTTTCCCTTCTTCCCATCCTCCATCCTGCTCCACCCATTAAGATGCTGTAGGGCAGGTGTGAACAGATAAAGCCTAGATTAAGCTATAAACTCCAAACAAGCAGGATCAAAGAAAGCTTTAATTCTGCTAGCTTCACACTCCTGTGCTTCACTCAGAGGGCCATTAGACATTATTTGTTGCCATGAGCTATTTTCACATGAAACATACACAAACATAAGAAAATTCCTTCTGTTTAGTATAGTTTAATTTTTTTAATACTTAAATGCCTATCTCTTAATTTTGCTAACTTTGGTTTTGGTTAGCCCAAGAAGTCAGGACATTCTGAAAACAGTCTCTCTGTACTGTCTGTGGTAGGAAGAACAAAGTTAACACCCAAGAAGGGGAAAAAAATGAATAATTTAAAATTCACTGGGCAATAGACTACTAGAAAAGCTAAAGCTTAGTTATTATTGGGAAACAAGAGGTTAATTTACTTCAGCTATAACAAAGATATTCCAATTAGCCCCAAAGAGATGAGGTAGATTTTTAAAAAGCCACTGTTTAACTATTTTCAACCATTACGTCACAAAAGTTAAATAACAAAGGGAAATGCTAGAGTATATTTAAATAGGCCTTAGTAACTTAAAGAGGTAAACATTACACATGAAAGATGCAAATACTTTGTAACAACTTCAGACCTAACACTTGGTCTGAGCCATTGTTACACCACCACTACCACTCTTATTAACATAGCATCCCGCATCGTTAAAGGCAGCAGCCCAAATTTATTGCATGCTATTGCCTGAATTATCTTATTTAAATGTCACAATAATCCTTAAGGCAAATACTAATTGATAAGAAAAGTGAGACTTAAGAAAATTATGAAATTTGCCCAAGGCAGTTAAAAATTTGAATCCAGGGCAGTGGACCTCAGAGACTTGCCTTAACTATTACACTAAGTTGTTTCCCCGTTACACACAAAAAAACTACCCTAAGAGATGTGCCTGAAAAAACTGATCAGAGATTTTACTTGAGGGTTTAAATGTTATGTTTTTCAACATTCTGAGTTTTACATATTCTACTAATCGATCCAAAGACAAAAAAAGTTAATCTTTACCTGACTGTCTGGGTACCATCGTCTAGAAGGTGATAGGCTCTAGCAGTGTTCTTCTTAGCCCATTCAATATGCTCTTCTTGGTTCCATGTCCCGACAACCACAGAAGTTTTCCCACTATCCTTGTCCTAATATATGAAGAAATATGTATGATAGCTTGATATCATCAAATAGACATTTATGCTGATGGTCTATAAGCTATAGTCCCTATGCTCATATGCACACTGGATACCTATATTTAGAGGTAATAATGTTTTAGCCAAACTTGACCATTAGAAATTTGAGCTGGTTATCTTTTTTATTCCTTGTTTCCCTGGAAAAGGAAACTGCTTTCTAATTAGACTAGCTTCAGACATAACTATTTTTGACTCTTCAATTTCCTTCTTCTCCTACATCTAACATCCTGTCAATTTTTTTTCTGGGAGATGTTCTCAGCTCAGACTCTTCCTTTACATTTCCACTGCCAACATCTCCCCGCAACCAAGAGTTTAATCTCTCATACCTAGATGATATGACCACAGACTACTGTGATTCTTAATTAAATCTTTGGCCACTATCTCTTACCCAGAACCACACTGCAGCTACACTCAGCCTGTCTCCATTTATTACTCCTTCAAATGCAAACCTTCAAATGACACTACTCTTCACACTATGCATTTGATACCAAGCTCATTTTTGCATCAAGACTGTTCAGAAACCCCCTTTCCCATTCTGCTTTTATTATTGTTTTTTAAAATATATTTTTATTGATTTCAGAGAGGAAGGAAGAGGGAGAGATAGAAACATTAATGAAGAATCACTGACTAGCTGCTTCCTGCACGCCTCTTACTGGGGATGGAGCCTGCAACCCAGGCATGTGCCCTGACGGGGAATCAGCTGTGACTGCTTGGTTCATGGGTTGATGCTCAATTACTGAGCCACACTGGCCGGGTTATTATTTTTTTAAACACTAACTACATGTTGTCTTATATGTGGACTTCATTCTCCCTTCTCTCTTTTCCTTCCCTGAACCCCTTCCTTCCTGTATTCCTTTCCTTCTTCCTATTTTATACCAGGCACTGTGCTGGGCACTAATATACACCTGATTAGTAGAAAACCCTTACAGTGGCAAGTGAAACAGGCCTGGAGTTTATTGCCTAGTGGCAGAGAGGGCCATTAGACATTATTTTAGCAACCTATAAGTTCCTAGACAGACATGGATTAAGAGGTTCGAGATGGAGCATTCTGCCTGGGGTTGAATTCTAGTTTTACCACTTATTTCCTATGTGATTTTAGCCAGGTTACTAAATCTTTGTTTTTGTTTCCTCATCTTGGAATAACAATACTCACCTCTTAAGGGTTATTATGAGCATTAAATGAGATAATTATGTGTAAAGTACTTAGAACAGGGCTTGGGATACAGTATATAGAGAGCACTACATTTGTTAACTACTATTATTTTTGTATTTTCCAAAGCTCCCAGCAGAGTCCCTTAGAATGTTCCAGGTTATATGATCTTGACCAAAATAAGGTTGATAAAAACCTAGTGTAGGCAAGTGAATGGGAAAACAGCCACTGTTAATGGGAATGTAAACTGGTCCAACCCTTAGGAAGGCAATTGTTCAGAATGCATATACTTTGCCCTAGCAAGTACACTGCTAGAAATATGCCCTATGAATATACTTAAAAAAGTTCACCAATAGAACTATTTAAAAATGCTCACTAATATGCTATCACAGCAAAACTGAAAGTAACTTAAAGGTCCGTCACTATAGGTCTGGCTAAATGCATGTGGGTACAGACTTAATCCTCTGTACCTGCTGAAAAGATCAGTTGTTGCTGATAAGATCTCCATGATACTACTTAGTACATCTTTTCTGTATAAATAAAAAGGTTATATCAACATTTATGTATATGCATTTTTTTTTCTTGTGGAGGGTTAACTAAGAAAGAGGTAACAGCAGTTACTTTTGGGGAATGGAACAATGATGGAAGAGAATTTTACTTTTCATTCTAAATTTCTGGCATACATATATGCCTTTAATTAAAAAAGCCATGGGGTTATTGTCTGGATTGTAGATAGAACATATACTTTATCTTTTTTCTGTATAAAAAAATGTTAGTAAAAATAAAACATCTACAAAGCAGCAAGAAAAAATGGAAAGAATAGTGAAATCGAACTTCTCAGGCTTAAAGTGAATAAAAAAAAGTCCTAGTTTATAGATGCCTCATAAATTTGGAGTGATTTAAATGTGCAAGGTGAGTTGATCTTTCCTGGTATGATCCATCTTGGAATTTAAAATTGGATTAAAGCATCTCAGGAAGTCAAATATAACATTTTCTAATTACTAGTTATTATTTCTTTTTGGAAATAAAAAGAGCCTTTTAAAACAGCCAGGTCAATATTTATTAGTGTGTTTTCAACATCTAGTAGTTGAACTTACCAAACAAAGTACACATGACAAATAAAATTACTGGGGCTAAACTTCTGAATTTAAGCAGCTTAGCTCAAATATGGGAAAATATACCAATTTATGAAATTATAAATAAAGGGAAGAATAAAAAGCCAACTTGTGTAATCTTAAATTTTATTTTATTTTAAACGTAGATGATATGGTACCTTCTTTTGGCTGAGAAACTTGCTGTATTTACCCTATTTTACTAACTATTGATGATGTACTATCTAACCATTCACTCTCTTAATTTAAAGATGAATTATAGCTGTATAATTTTTCACCGATAAAAAAGAATGAAATCTTGTCATTTGTGACAATATGGAGAGGGTATTATGCTAAGTAAAATAAGTCAGACAGAGAAATACCACGTGAATTCATTGATATGTGGAATCTAAAAAAAAAAGAATAAACAAAACAATGGGAATAAAAAATAAAATTTAAAAAGTTTCAAAACAAAACACTAATTTCTTCTTTATTTACAGAAGCTGGTATTGGAGGAACCCCAGTGAAAGGACAGCAGGGGTTGTCCCAGTGGTGTGTAAAGGGTGGAGACCAGAAGAGTGAGCTGTTAACTTGGCAGATCACCTTCATGAATTTTTGAATGTGGAAAGGCAGATCTGGTACTTAGTTTAGGGTTCTAAGTGCAAAGGTTACCTGAGGTATAGAATAAATTAGTATGATTTTGAACGTTGGCAGCCAGCAGCTAGTGAGGAGAGGAAAGGCAACAGGGATGCCCCAAAGGGAAAGTTAGATTGAAAAGAAAAAAAAAGCTAGGGGACTGTCAAGGGCGGGGCGAAAAAATGGACACATATGTAATACCCTTTGTAATACTTTAAGCAATAAAAAAAAATAGGAATCGGAAAAAAAAAGATAAAGATTAATTATAACAATGACTAATTTCTCGGTCAAAGCTAACAAGGTTAGCCACCCTAACTTATTCTTCTTCCAGGCTCATAGTAATATATATATATATAATTTAAAAAACCTGGAATAGCAATAATATGGTTGAAAATTAAAAATTACTGACAAGTAGACAAATGCAGAGAACAACTGCTGTACTGCTTTGATAAAATAAAATGAAAATTCCACTTGTAAGTGCATTTCTCACTGAAGCTATTGGTCAGGGTCAAAGTTTTACCTTTGTAGATGTTAACTCAAGTTTTTTTTAAAAAATATATTTTATTGTTTTTTTTACAGAGAGGAAGGGAGAGTTAGAAACATCGATGAGAGAGAAACATCGATCAGCTGCCTCCTGTATACCCCCCACTGGGGATGTGCCTGCAACCAAGGTACATGCCCTTGACTGGCAACGAACCTGGGACCCTTGAGTCTGCAGGCCGACGCTCTATCCTCTAAGCCAACCCAGTC